ACGTGGGCATATTGGGCTTAGAGAGGGAACCGCATAGATGCTCAGGCCAGGGAGAAAGTACATTGAAAATCTATTCAGCAAATTCTTACACATATCTTTTTTGGGAAAAAAGCAAAAACAAAAGCATTTTCTCTTCACGAATATTTTTCTGAGTGCAACTGTCTGATGGCATAAGCATCTGACTTTCTGCCCAAGCTTGCAGCATTTCACGGTTCTTTCAGCAATGTCCAACCTGGAACCCTTTACATCTGGCATACTGTCTTTAAATTACATTGCAAAATGTCCGCTTATGAAATATGTATCAAATGTTCTTTTCAATCACTTAGAGCTCCAAAAGAAGAAACCGTTTGGCCTTAGATAATACCTTGAATGTGACACAGGCAAGAACACCTTGAAATAATGCTTAACTAATCACGAAGCGACTACTCTGCTCTAGGTGGGCGAGCCACTAATTAGACGAAGGGAAATGAAACTGTCACGGTGGGGTAAGAGGATAGAGAGAAGCAAGCAGTCATCACTGCTTTATTGTCAAAGAAAGTATCGAACACGGCTCAGTAAAGAGAGGGAAGAACCCACAGCCCTGCAAGTAAATACCAGCGCTCATTAAACTAGCGCATGGCGCTAACCCAGCTCAGGATGACAGCGGCCTCCCAGAAAGCGCGCTCGGAGGAGGAAAAGACCGCGCCGGCACGAGCGAGGGCGCCTTAGTTGGGCCTGCAGCAAACTGAATAGCAACATTACATGGCGATTTTCTTAAAGGGCTTAAAAGTTTCCAAGCCAGTCTGAAAATAGCCTTTTACTAAGGATTGGGGTAGGTCTCCCAGGCTCGGTCATTCTTTCCAAAGCTTAATTGATATGCTTAACATGTAAATGGTGTCAACAAGCACAGTGAGTTGTGTATTAAATGTAAATGCAGGGAGCAACTTACATTCGGTTGCTTGGGATAATCTTGTGTCCTTCTCGGAACCAAGTCACTTGAGGCCTGGGGCAGCTGGCGAGGGGCAGGAGGTTGAGAACGGCTGCCTGTCCTTGTGAGACCATTTTTCTCTGGTCTGTATCCTTGAAATTCCCCATATCTGCAGAGAAAAATCAGACCTTTAAAGTTCTAGAAAACTCTTTTTGAGGGGGAGGGAGATCAAGGATGGAAACAACTGCATGTTACTGCACAGTCACCGCTGTTGCTGTAATTAAGCAGCGGGACGAGGGACGAGCGACAGTGCTGGTGAGGGCGGCTGGGGGGGGGTGGACGCGAGGCAGAGCCACGTGCCCCCAAAGTGGCCCCCACACGTGTGACTCAGCAGAACCTCCTGGGCTCTGTGTTGCTGCAACAATACAGTGAAACGTTTGCAACTGATTCTAACAGTGACGAAAATTGCTGAAAAGCATCCTCACGCCACAGGAAGCATTCTCAGAAGTGGTAACAACGTTTTCAGAGGCTGCCCTCCTCAGAGGCTGCCACCCAGGCACCGCTGTCCTGCTCAGCGCCTCCTTCTCCTCGTTTCTGGGGTGAACGACCCCAAGAGATCTTCTGGGAGAAATACTTTTTAACCATTGATTCGTTTTCAGAGGGTTCTCCAAACCCCACACTACTGACTTAACTTGGGGCAGGTAGGTTTCTCCCAGTCTTTGTGCTACCGGTTTACAACATTCAAAAACTGGGATCGCAGGGGAAAACCCAGCCATCAGAGTGTGGGTATAAGTGGCCAATTTAAAAATTAGTACTGTGTGAAATTTCTGGAAAATTTTCACATTATGACCAGGTACAGATACATGCATACACACACCAATGTGGCATATGTGCTGTATTTTTGTCTGAATTCAGGTAAATTTGGAATAGTCCATAAAAGATCTCTATTATCAATGGATTTGTGATTCAAAAGAAATTATTTCCTATGTTACAAGCAGCGTTTAATATTCTAGGAAAAAGATGAAACAAACAAATGAAACAGATTAGGAAAACGTTCATGGCTATTTTAAATTAAGGGGAATCTGTTACCAAGGAGGAGAAGAGAGAGAGGAAAACCTAGCACTAGAGATAAAGGATGGAACAAGGAAAGCGTAATGAAGGACGACAAAGCCCAAGTTTTAAAAACTAGAATTTAATGCATTGTAATAAAGCCTAAGTGTATTCAAATGTTTGGGGTATTGACCGTAATTTTTCATTTGTGAGTTATGTTTTCAATTACTCAGCTGAATGAAACTTCTGAATTCCTCTGCAGGCAAGTTCGGCTGAGCGACCTCACCACCGCCCTTCAGAAAGCTACGCCTTCCTGGTGATTCAGCCCGCGCCTCCGCGCCCGCCCGGGGCTGCTTCGCTGCCGCAGCGGCCTCAGCTGGGGTCAGACGCAGCCCCGGGGAAAGCACTGTCACCGCTGTGGGCGCGGCCCACTTTCGGAGCTCTTTAGAGCCCCCCGAAATCCACTGCGACAGAGCCATGTGTGATTCAACCTTTCCTACCGCGTCTCACTTTCTTCTAAGTGAAGAGCCGC